ATCCCACAACTCCAGACTCAGCCCCTGAGGAAGGTTCAGAGCTGTTCAGCAACTCTGGCCAATGGGTCACTCTGGAAATATCAAAGGTGGGTATCGTTGTTTGCAAAAGGTAGTGCTGCTGTAACTGACAAAAATAATCATGAGGCTGGGTGCAGTGGCTCATGCCGGTAATTCCAACACTGAGAGGCTAAAGTGAGAGGATTGCTTGAGGCCAGGAGTTCAAAAGCAGCCTGGCAACATAATGAGGTCCTGTCTTTATTTAAAAAAATAAATAAAATAAAATAAAATAACAAGTGGTCTGAGCACTCCTTCTCTTCATGGTGTGCCAAAAAAACTGGTCAGGCAAGTTCTTGCTCATGGTGCCAAGCCACTCTAAATAAAACAGAAGCAGCTCCCGCTTCCTGTTCTTCAATGATTGCTTATTCCAGAAACTACCAAGCAGATGGCAAATGTTTGACTGTCCTTTGGCATGTCTAATTGGATCCCAAAACCATGGTCCGCATTTCATCTTTGCTTTTTTGTTATTGTTTGTTTTGTTTTGTTTTGTTTTGTTTGAGATAGGGTCTTACTATTGCCCAGGGTAGAATGTGGTGGCACGATCTCAGCTCATTACAACTTCTGCCTCCTGCGTTCAAGCAGTCCTCCTGCCTCAGCCTCCCAAGTAGCTGGGATTACAGGCATAAGCCACCATGCCCAGCTAATTTTTGTATTTTTAGTAGGGATGGGATTTCACCATGTTGGCCAAGCTGGTCTCGAACTCCTGACTTCAAAGTGATCTGCCTGCCTCAGCCTCCCAAAGTGCTGGGTTTACAGGTGTGATCACTATGCCTGGCCTGGTTTTGTTTCTGAGCCTGGGTCTCATTCTGTTGCCAAGCTGGAGTGCAGTGGCTCTATCATGGCTCACTGCAGCCTCAACCTCTTGGGATCAAGTGATCCTCCCACTTCAACCTCCCCAGTAGGCTGGGACTACAGGTGTGCAGCACCACACCCAGCTGGTTTATTTCTGGTTTTTAACTTTTCGTAGAGATGGGGTCTCACTGTGTTGCCCAGACTGGCATCTTTGTATAGGGCTGTGTTCTCAAATTTGTGTGTGTTTAAGGATGACTCAAGGTACTCAGAAGATGTGCATATTCCTGGTCCAACCCCTAGAGAGTCTGATTCTGTAGTCTGGGGTGTGGCCCAGGAAACACTGGCATAGTAGAAGCAGCCCTACCCAGATAGGAACCAGAAGACTGGGCTCCACTTATATCAGCATAAACCTGAGAACTCACTTCACCTCATTGGTACCTCTTTCTTCATGGTAAAGCTTCATTTTTACAACGAGGGGAGCAATACTCACTCATCATAAGGCTGGTTGCCAGAAGATCCAATTAGAAACCGTAGATAGGAAAAGCACCACTATCACTCAAAGCACATACTCAAGGTCTAATAATTTTGGCTTCTGCCTTTCACAGTGAGAAAACCTGGGCAACACCTGATTAGATAACCCTGTATGCCCACTGTCAGCCTCTGTCCTGTGGTGGAGACTCTCTTTTGTGCTTGTGTGTTTTGCGGTAACAGATCACAGCTGGTCTCCCCGCAGGCTGTGTCTTCTGATTTCCTGCATGGCAGTCCTTGTGCTGGGTATGATCATCACGGTGATTGGTCTTGGGATCACCTTTGGAATACCTGTAAAACCTGCAAGTATGTGTCACCTCTGGGAGACCAATCTATCAATAATTCACTCAACCAACAAGAGTATATTTATACTCCATATATTTCCAAAATGGGTGAGTCTACTGATAATGTTCGGCATGTGGTAGGTGCCAGCCACTGCTCTGTTCATTTCACACATCTTGTCTTTATTTTATTCTTAACAAACCTGCAGGGTGCTATTACCATTATGACTAAGAGTCGGTGGGGGAGGCAACTTGCCCCAGAGCATATCGAAAATACATTAATAAGCCAGGTTTCTGATCCAGGTCAGCCTGACTCTGAAGTCGGGATACAGTTTCCACCTTCCAGGAGTTTCCGCTGTGATTAGGAGACTGGTGAAACAGTGGTGGACAATACAGAACAGCATACGACCAGGAAATAGATTGAGTGAGATGATACATTTTCCAGTAATTTGAGAGAAATCAGCTAGAACTGATGCTGAAGGGACAAGGTCATGAAAGTGAGAACTGGAGCCACACCTTGTGGGGCGGTGGGGGGGCGGGGTTCAGATTTAGATTGAGGTTTGGGAAGAAGTTTGCCAGAGATGGAAACTGTGTACCCTCTGGTAGGACACAAAGGATTAGGACTTCGCCCTTCACCAAACTTGAAGTATGTGAGGAAGAGAGGTGAAAAATAACACTGAGTACTTAAGGGGTGCGGGTGAGTGAAAAATAAGGGAGGATTATGGGCCAGTAGCACTGAATTGCATTACACACACGCATTCGCACATTCACACCACGCTTCCCCTCGCCACAATCTGGCAGATGCTCTCCCCTCTGCCATGATGCCCTTCTTCCATTGCTTATATGGCTGGCTCATAGAGGGTTTAAGACTAATCTCAGGTGTCCCCAGACTGAGTGAGGTGTGCCACCTCTGTGCTTCCACAAACCCTGCATAAACCTTAACCCAGCTCCTGGCCACACGGTGCAGTAATTATCTGTTCTGTAATGCATCTTGAAGACAAGCAATATCCTTCTAATCCCAGCCCTGCTACATGCTTATTGGACAAATGCCTTCAGCAATGCATGTTGATTATAGAACTGAACCTTGATGCTGCCAGAAGTAGGGCCATGGAAGTCTTTTGAGATGATAAAAGCAAGCAATGTTTGTGTGGTTTCAATGAAGGAAATGGAGTGTAGAGAAAGTGATAGATTTGAAATATGGGAAACTGACTCATCAAATTGCCATGAAAACAGACAAACAAACAAACAAACAAACAAACCTAAGGCTTAGGGTGTTGATCTCCTGATGAGAACAGCTTTGGACTCACGATCCTAGCCAGCTTTGGGAGTTAGTAGGGTTCTACACAATGGGACATTAAGGGTAAGATCTGGATTCTCATTTTACCTTTTGAACACTCATTCAGAAAAGCATTTATTGAGCACATATTATGTGCCAATAATAGTGCTCTGCTCAGGTCTCCTTCAAGAGCATCTGCATCAGGAAGCTCCATTAACTGACAGCGCCAGCCACCACCTGTCTGGACCTACCACCACATTCATGCCAAGGCTACTCTTCCCCACGCAGTCCCCAGGCAATGACTGAGCACTGTGGGGTTGCTAGTGCTACCCATCCCTCAAGACATGGGACCCTGCTAATGGGTGACTTTACCTCAAAGACTCCACCTTGGCCTGTCTGAAACTTTCTTAGAATTGGCTGCAGGGCAGGCATGGTGGCTTACGCCTTACCATCACTTTGGGAAGCCGAGGCAGGAGGATCGCTTGAGGTCAGGAGTTCGAGACCAGCCTGGCCAACATGGTGAAATGCCATCTCTACTAAAAATACAAAAATTAGCCCTGTGTGGTGGCAGGCACCTGTAATCCCAGCTACTTGGGAGGCTGAGGCAGGAGAATTGCTAGACACCAGGAGGCGGAGGTTGTAGTGAGTAGAGATTTCGTCACTGCCCTCCAGCCTGGGCGACAGAGCGAGACTCTGCCTCAAAAAAAAAAAAAAAAAAAAAAAAAAAAAAAAAAAAAACAACTGGCTGCAGTCTAAGGCTTCCTACACAGACCTTCATTAACCCCCTCCTTTCATAGGCATTAGAACTGCATCAGGATAGGTTCCATTGCCTACTTTTGCTTCCTTCCCAAACTATAATCCTCCAAGTCAGATTCACTTCTAATCTAGTTTGGTGTTAATTTCTCAGAGGACGAAAAATGACACAGGTTCTTGCAGATTATCAGACCATAACAGTTCTTGTCCCTAAAACCACAATGCCAGGCACCTCTTAGATTAAGGGATATAAACTGGTGTTATCTGCCTCTTGTCAACATAGTCCCAACTATAAAATATTTAAGAGGTAAAATGCACCTTTACCAAGCCTTCACCCCCTCTAAATCAGGTACCTAAAGTATTTCCAGCCTGTTTATCACTCTACACACCCATCTGGAATTTTCTGGGTATACATTATTTAGGTGTAAATGTGTCTGAGATACAAATGTTACCAATGAGCTATTTACATCTTAACTTCTACCATCTAATATTTATGCACTTGAAATTTTTAAAAATACCTTTCACATTATTTTGACTACCTCCCATTCATTTTTCAATGGGGTAGACTAATTACATTTAAACAATAAGATCAATTTAACTCACAGTATCCCCATGAAGTCAGCATAGAGTTATCCATGCTCTCATTTCTAGCTAAGAAAATAACGGAGGGGGCTACATAACCAGCCCATGGTAAAGCTCAAGCCGGAGCCTAGGCCTATGGACCCTCTCCCAGGCACCTTCCAGTACTTCTCCAGCAGTAGTGAGTGTATGTTTGTTTGCCCACATACAGTAGTATTACAAAAAAGAATGAGAGAGAATAAGAAAGAAAAGAGGGAGGAGAAATAATGGGGAAAGGACAATGGTTACAGCTAAAACTTTGGTCAAAAAAAGAATGATGGTAAGAAGCAGAAGGGGGAAGAGAGGCATGTTGTTATTAAAGCTGATGTTCATGATCATGAATGCATGTGTCAACATTTAATACTTGTCTTATAAATCTTCCAGATTTAGGCCGGGCGCCATGGCTCATGCCTGTAATCCCAGCACTTTGGGAGGCTGAGGCGGGTGGATCACTTGAGGTCAGGGGTTCAAACCAGCCTGGCCAACATGGTGAACCCCATCTCTACTAAAAATACAAAAATTAGCCGGGCGTTGTGGCAGGTGCCTGTAATCCCAGCTACTAGGGAGGACGAGGCAGGAGAATCGCTTGAACCCAGGAGGCAGAGGTTGCAGTGAGCTGACATGGTGCCACTGCATGCCAGCCTGGATGACAGAGCGAAACTCCATCTCTAAATAAATAAATAAATATCTTCCAGATTTACCACATCAACAATGCACGACAGCTTCACAGCAACTGGGCTTCTTGTGCAAGGACCTCAGCACTTGCTTGCCACCCTCCCAGCTGTGTAATGGCAAACTGGACTGCAGTCAAGGGGAAGACGAATCTGCTACCTACTGTGGTAAGGTGGACAAGTAATTATTCAGAATTATATGAAAACATTATCGTACGTGAATGCTTTCTATTAGAATGCCTTTGTCTAATACAGGTCAAATGCCCAACAGAGTATCTCCCATAAAACTTGACATTCAAGTGTCCCAACCAGAAGATTTGGACATATATTGGACAAGGTGTGTGACACAAGAAATGACTGTGGTGATTGCTCAGATGAATCAGGTAAAAATGAAAATATGTCATTAATTTTTTAATGGCTTCTTGGAGTGGCTACCCTTATACTTCAATTACATAAATTAACTCGTGCTTACAAGCCTTCCTTAAGGATACATCCATGATTTTAAGATTCTATCATTCCCAGTAGTTTGTGCATATTTAAACTAGATGAATTCTCTAGCTAAGAATACAGCCAGTTCTGTAAGAATTACCAAAGGAAATAATCTTGATAGACAGCTCTTATCTGCTATCAAATTCCTTCTATATTTCTTTACAAATGTTGGTGAAGATCAAACAAAATTCTGTTGAGTGCTTTGGCTCTCAAAAAAATTTTTTGTTTAACTTTGCCATTTCCTTGCTTTTCCTCCCTCACTTTCCTCCTTCTCTCCTCCCCTCATTCTGTTCCTTACAGTAGTTTAATACTTGGCAAACACCTGATCACCCCACAATCTCATAAAACCATGGCAGAGGTGCAATTCCAATACCTCGTGGCCCCAATTAGTATCTGAAAGCCCTATAAGAAATACATTAAATAGATAATTTCCTGCCTTTTGTCTGGTCATTGTGGAGGGTAGAAATAGAAATGCTAGGAATTACAGATAACAATGCTCTGGCAAATAAAGACTAAAATTATAAGGAGATCCTTTTCTTCTCGCTAGCTGCCAGTTAGCAGTGATTCTTTTCCCTGCTGATTGAACATACAAACTCAAAGGTACCCTTTCTTATTATGTAATATGTCAGTATGTTTATTTTTAGGCTGATGGTGAGGGGTAGTACTTGTCTTGGCTTTTCAAAGTACAAATTCTTTCACCCAAACATGTAGAATCTTTAATAAACATCTGCAATTTCCCTGCTGGGCAGTTTTCACAAATATTTTTAAGATCCAGGGGGCAATTTCTTTTCCAATAATATCTTTTTCAGTCTACCTTGACATTTTAACAGTTATGGTTTTAAAAACAAATAAAATTGTCTAGTTTTACAGTGCCCAAAGTGCTCGGGCTGGAGATGTGATACTGTTTTCTTTGCTGACTGCGCCTGCATTCCCAGAACTCGCTGCAAAAATGGCATTCAAGACTGTGCTGATTGCAGCGATGAAAACTGATGTAAATAGAAGACTTTTCTAATCATTTTTTTTGGAAAGCTGAAAACTGCTATTAGTTGCCTTAATACTTCTCTCAAAAAAAGTATATTATATATGTGTATAATATATATAATACACATACATTCATATATATCTTACTGGGATGGCAGAGGGAGGGAAGAGCTACTGAAGAACACGAATCCAGCATTAATGGAGAAAAAAATGATTAGTAGAAGTCAGACCAAAATCTTAACTTTCAGCTCATTTGTTTCCAAATTTTAGAATGTAGCTTTCTGTTCTGTGAACCATAGGGTTATGGGAATGAAACAAATGTATTTTAGCTCAATTATTTCAACAAATAAAGGGTATTAATCCTAAAAGCTCTCAGATCAAAACAGATGTCTGTTTCCAGCTAAAAACGGGTTTGCTCCAGTCTGCCCCTCTAGTCTGCCAGGGTCTAAAATTCTTTCCAGCAGGTAGTGAACGTGAAAGAGCAGACATGGATTTGAATCTCATCCTAACACCTGGGGGGCTGTGTGACCCGAGGTAAGTAATTTCACCTCTTAAAGGTAATTTTCTTGTCTGTACAATGAGGCTCTTTCTTGGGGTTATAAGCAAAGAAGACACAAAACAGGTGGTAGAGTGCTTTTTACATGTAACAGCAGCTAAAGGGACTGTAGACAATTAAAGAAAAATTGCAAGGATATGGTAGATTGTATTATTATCCAAAAATATCTGCTACCCTGGAGGGTTATACTTCCCCAGTCTCACAGCCACTACTATGCACGTGACTTGCTTTGGCTAAGGAAGTTTATTAATGATATGCATCACTTCCCAGCATAACTTTGAAAGAGCCAGCTGATTGTTCTCCACCTTTTCCCTATCATGAGACTGGCAATGTCCCAGTTAGATGTTTCTGAGTACAGCAGAGCCCTACCATGGGTAAACCACAAACTTCAAATGTGACAAACCTTTGTAGCAACTAGACTTTTGGTCCTTTCTAACTGTAACATAACCCTACCTATTTTGATGTTGAAGAGACAAGAAAAACTTGCCAAATTAATCCATAGCCACCAATACACACCCTTATTTACACAATAAGCTGAAGAAATAATTTTAGATTGTTGGAAAGAAGTTGCTGAGTGCAGGCACAACAGGCTTAACCTTAGACAACATCTGTCCAATAAGCAAGATATGCTGGGACAGGCCTCACCTGGAAATCGATTGCACTTCTGTTTAGTCCCTTTCTGCTAGGCCTAGATCAAACTGGAAAGATATCCAGAAAGTGGCATTCTCCACAAGCTTGTCAGTCAGTCACCCCCAATGCTTCTTGAAATGAGAATGTTTCCAATCATGCTACTCCAAGCAGGGCCAGTAGGCCAGTAGCATTAGCATCATCTGGGAACTTGTCAGAAACATAAATCCTCAGGCCCCATGCCACTGCCCTCCAGCTTAGCCATTCCACTTGCTTTGGTTATGTTTGTAACAGCTTTAAGAGCCAGCAAGCACATGACCCACCATCTTCTCTGCCAGGAAGCTGAATGTCCCAGACAGGTGTTGACATCAGTGTGGGACCTAGTGTGACTATATAAGCACAGCCCAACCTGACCCACAAGAGTCTGCAAATGTACATTTAGTTTTTATAATTTTGTTACAGCTGAGACTTCAGGATTCTTCTCACTGTAGCAGTGTACTTCAACAAAACTGATAAACATCCCGAGGAAAATACAATGTAAATATGTGCAAATACTATTTACTCAAAACTTTGTTTTCCCTACAGTTAATAGCGGCTTTTAAATACAGCTGTATAGTACTTTCAAAAGGTACTTGCAAATTGCTATGAAAATTTAAAATAAATTATCATTACAAGTAGAAACTTTTCTTCCTCAAATGGCCTTGGTTCAGACTACACAATTGTTTTAATTGTAATTTGTAAAAATGTTTAAAGTAACCCGATGTTGAGGGATTTCTGGAACCATGAGACTGTTTGATAACCTGATTATGGTGGCAGACATTACAAATTCTTTTAACTGTATATGCTCAATTTTACTGTACATTTTTTATTAAATAAAAAAATAACCCTATTCATTAGTGTTGCCACTTAAGGTAAAGACAGTGACCCAGGAGCCACTCCTATTCTAAACACTACCTTTTCCAAGTCACCTTATAAAATATCCTACAAAGAAGGGATCTGGAGATTACTTTTACTTTTTAGAAGTTCTAAACCTCAGGTTACATCTACAAAAAGGAACTATTAGTTCTTCACAAATTGAGGAATAAAGGAGGTAACACCAAGGTAATTCAGAAAAGGCACTTAACATATGCCTACAATAGAGAATATCAGGGGGAAGAGTCTGTTTATCTACTCTATTCTGGTATTTACACCCACCACATACCATGGAAGCACTAAGGACTGTTGGAGAGAAAAGTTTTCACACATGAGAACTTTATACTACCTTTGTTACACTACACTGTGATTTAAAATCTTTAATCAAATCCCAAAGGTTATCAGCCATATTACGTACCATGATTAGCTTTCTATAAGCAATTTTTTTTACTGTGTACAGATCGGTGTCAATAAAATTTAAAAAAAAACCTGTATACTAGGCAAAGAACTTTATTAACCTTTGTTTCAAACTTGATCCCCAGGCTTCTTCGGCTTAATTAGCTGCAAAGAATGAATTGTGTATAAGCAAAAACTGAAAAGAGCTGCAGTGTCCAAGGGGCTTGGGCTTAAAAATATTAGAGATCTGGATTTTATCAGATCCATAAACAAAAATTTCTTAAAAAGCAGTCATAATATAAAATAGCAGCTCCCAGTAACTTCTTCAAGTTTTATCTTCAGAAGTTGACTCAATTCAGTTTGCCTCATTCTTGGAAGCCTCATCAAAATTCTCCACAAGATCTAGGAAAAGGAAAAGAGTAGAAATTCTTAAAAAAGCCAAATCTACAAATCATCATCAATCTTAAAAGGTGATGAGGGAAAGACATTCATTTGCCAGTGATAATAAATACTGTGTCATAGCCCCAAGAACAAGAATGAAGGAGAGGAAAAAAAAAAAAAAAAAGCCCCCCCCACCCAACCCCACCCGGCTCCATCCCATCTCACAGACTGGTCAACATAATATGAGGAAGCAGAACCAAAGAATACAATGACACAGAATGTTAAAATTTTCCTGGATTCCTAAGGATACCTGTCTATGCAAAATGGGAATATTTGTGAGCCTAGTGATTCTCCTGCCCAATAAATATTTTAGAAGAAAGTAAATTTATCCAATAACAAGAGACAAAAATGTCTCATGATTCCTAAAGGAGTTATGCTGCTATGGATTTTAGAATTATATATATATATATCCCAAGATAACTGAACTACTCCACGCCTTCTTGTAAATTCATGAATTTCAAAGTAGGGAGCAAGGGTCATTAGTGCTCTGCAGGTAATAGTTATATTTAGGGTACTATATATATACTTATTTATTCAATATTTAAGATTAGATACCTACACATCCTTGGGATCCCACAAAGAAACAAGCCAAGTCAAGTCTATAAACGTAATTCTCAATTACCTAATATTGCATTAGTTTTCTCATTCTAAGTAAGGTCTATGTCCATCTTGACTTACCACCCTTCTTCCCTGGGTAATTTATCCTACAAAGATGTCTTACTCTCCCTTGCTAAGATTCCCTAGGTTAACCTCAAGTAAACGTTCCTACCTGGAACTTCATCATCATCATCCTCTCCAGTAGCAAGTGGTGCTTTTCCATCCACAGCTATAAAAGGAAAATGTAAACATTATTTGTCTAGGTTTTTAATAAATAGCCACCAAAAAAAAAAAGAACAGATGAAATGCCAAGTATTGTTATAACTTATTTCCGTGATAAGGGACAATTGGGATTTTATCTACGATACTATCAATAACATGATATTCTAATGTCTATAAATGGGTTAAAATACTAGGAACAGCCAACAAACAAAATTCCATACCCATCCTTTCAATCCCTCTGGGCCACCATAGGCCCTGAGGTAGTATAAAGGCAGTAGGGAGCTCTTAGAGTGCAGGTAAAACCCACATACCAAATCATGGTAAGATTTATTTTGGGAGACAAATGAAGATGCCATTTTCTCAACTACTTTGTGTGTGGCATAAGGGTGATGCTCAACAACCACTTACTGAAATGAAAAAATTAAAGTAAAAAAATTAAGAGTCTGTGAGTGGTAAGCATCCACTCTACTCTATCACACAAGGATATGAATGTACACAGGAGAGTTATGTACTAGCCCCATACAAGCATCAGTGGGATACTTCAAAAGCCTACTTCAGCTCTGAAAGCCCTGACAGTCTAGAACCTGCAACTCAATGTGACAATAAAAATGAAAATTGAGGCAGAATGAGTCAACACCTAGAAAAACATGGGTAACTAAAGAGCCATATATAAGCCTCTGACTTGCTCCTGCATTCCCATTCTTCAAAATTTTAAGAAGGTAGAAAACAGCGAAACACTGCCACATATTCAGATGTATATTCAGCTACACTATTTTCTGCCCTGAATAAAATCCCTATCACACTGTAATTAAAAATGCCAGAATACTGGCAGGCCATTTTTAAAAGATTACTTGTAATATCAACTACCTAGATGAAACTGAAGTAATTTCATAATTTATACTAATTTTTTTTCAATTCCAAACTTACAAGTAGTTATTGGCAAAGCACCAAATTAACATTTTCATCATTTCTAGTTAATATTAAGTATCTGATCCAAATCAAGTAAGTAGAAAACATTCCACAAAATCAAGTGTAACGATCATAGCATGCTACATCAAGTACTGCAAACTTGAGCAAGGACACTTGCTTAAAATCAGTTACAAATCTGTTCTTTTTAAAGCTTGCATTTCCAAACTTAAAAATACTCATATCCATTCTGAGCCCTGAGATCAGAAATCAGCTGCTAAATGAGTAATTCCCTGGCAAAACCATTACTAGGAAACTCACATTGTTTGGGCAGAGCTTCGGCCAGTCTCCTTAAACTAGTCAGACTATCTGCGCCAAGCTGGTTTAAGATGCTGGGTAGCATTTCTGTCAGCTGCTTCGTCTCAGCATGGCCTGTAATGGTGAAAGTGTTCGCTGCCAGAGATGCCTGAACTTTAGGGTTGTTAAAGTGGATCACTGTTCCTTGGTTTGTAAACATATTCACCTATTAAGAAAAGAAAAATTTTAATTAGCAATGCTGACCAAAGTCTCTTTAAAAACAAATGTTTTATTAAACGAAGTCTGCCTAACTAATCTAGTATTTCGCTGTGAAGCACAGGTGAAATTTTGCCTGGAATGGCATATGCATTCTAATAGCATTCAGACTTAATGATCTCCCTGATTTATTAATTTATGGTAGAAACACGCTGTAGGGACTCTGAAGTCACTAAGTTAAAAAAAAACAAAAACAAAAACAAAACCCATTTAATGCATGAATGTTAACTTTTCCCAGCCAAATCTTGTTTTTTAAAAGAAACAAAATTTGACACTTGCCTCTTCAATACCAGAGATATTGTTTACCCCTAACTTCTTTAAGGAGAACTGAAGTTTTTTATCATCTGCTGTGGCTGTTCTATGAACCACCTTCTTCTTTCTGCGAGCAGTTCCCTAAAGTCAGGGAGAAGAGGAAAGAAAACAGCACATTTATACCACAACAGATATTTTTCAAATGGGAATAGTTTCCAATTCATTTCTGACCTTTGGATCTGTATAAGAACATTACCATAATCATAAACTTATGCAGTGAGCCGGCAGGCTAAGGCAAAAATAGAAGCAAAAAATGGGAAAGGAAAAGAATGATCTTCACAAAGTTCTACTTTTTACATTTGCTCTAAAAGCGATCAAAGAGGTAGCATGTGTCAACCTAAATTAAGCATTTGAAAGAACTCCACATCCAGAATTATTAACCTTTCCTGTTTTGTTTTTTTTTTTGAGACAGGGTCTCACTCTGTTGCCCAGGCTACAGTGGTGCAATCTTGGCTCACTGCAACCTCCGCCTCCCAGGTTCAAGCGATTCTCCTGCCTCAGCCTCCCAAGTAGCTGGGATTACAGGCACTCTCACCATGGCTGGCTAATTTTTGTATTTTTAGTAGAGATGGGGTTTCACCATGTTGGCCAGGCTGGTCTCAAACTGCTGGCCTCAAGTGATCCGCCCACCTCGGCCTCCCAAAGTGTTGGGACTACAAGCATGAGTCACTGTGCCTGACTCCTTCTCTGTTTTTATATTAAATAAAAATCAACACCCAAATTAGTATTTACAGGCAAGATAGTGTATGGAACAATCAAATGAATCTGTATATAGACTTCTATAGCACTCAAGAGTAAAGTCTGAAGTCCTTACACCTTAACCTACAAGAGCCGTACACAAACTGTCCTGCCCTTAATATGCCACTCCTGACTGCATCTGCTACCACCCCTCTTCTTTAGCCAAATAAACCTTGGCTGTTCTTTGAACAGGCCAAGCAGGCTATGACCCAAGGGCCTTTGCACATGCTGTTCCTCTCTTTCCAGAACATCTACATGGCTCTTTCCCTCACTGCAGATCTCAAGTCTTATGTCACCGGGTCAAAGTGGTCTTTCTCAACTACCCAAAGTAAAATAGCAACTTCCACACTCACCCATCAATTTCTTTCTATCCTGGCTTATTTCTCTTCATAACACTTATTACTATAAGAGATAAATACATTTTATCATCCATCTCCTTTCACTAGAATGTAAGCTCCATAAGGACTTCTGTTTGTTGCTATAAACCCAGTATCTACAAAAGAGTCTAGCTCATTGAAAGCACTCAAGGAAAGGCTATCACACCCAACTACCTCATTTTCCCCCAACCTCCATCCCTATTCCTATTCATCCTTTAAAATCTTATTCAAGTCATTACCTCTTGTGTGCCTTTCCTAAATTCTACAACTATCCCCTTTCCCTATGCCAAATCATTCCCATCTCTAGATTTTGAAAATGCTTCTACTATTGTACTATGTATATTACACTGTGAAAACAGATTTATTTATTTATTTATTTTTTAAAAAGACAATAATCAAATTATCACCACTGCTAGGCCTAAAGCCCATCTAGGGACTTTAAACTTCTTAAATTTTATATTCTCAGGATCCAACATAGTAAAGGCTTAAATAAATCTTGTTATTTAACTGAAGAAAATATCTATAGCTACAAAAAAAAAAAAAGTACTGGTTACTAACCTCTCCCAACTATTAAGAACAAAAATCACTTTGAGATGGTCATGTATGTATCTGGTTTCCACATAATCTTCTCTAAGAAATTCAAAGGAATTTCTAAGATTGTAAAGACAAACCCAGCATACCTTCTATAGGTTTCAGACACTTCACATATGTCGAGTTCAATTTTCACTTAATTATTATTAACGCTCTGATTAGATATGAAAATAAAAGGCTTTTGTAACATTTACCTAAGAGCACCTAACACCTACAGTTTTCTCTAAAGCAAAATTAACTCACCTAATTTCACATCCCATAATAAGTACGCTTCTTAAACAGTGAAGATATGTTTCCATATTCTGTGACTACAGAAATACTTCTTGTATTATTAGCTAAATGAGTATTAAGATGTTAGGACACAAAATTTAATCTTGTATCAGCTTTAAATATCCTAGCAAATCTCAAGATTTTCCTTTACCCTAAAGTGATGTCTCCCAAAGTTAAAGCCTAATGATGGGAGTAACAACAAAAAGATTGCACATAAGCACATTATTCAAATTACTCCTTCTGAAACTGTACTGAAAGTAAGAGTGGTTAAAAACACCAATATAAGAGCATCCAAACACTGACACACAAAAATTTGAGTTTTGCTGGCACTTGAAGGCCAGTCTGGTAACAATTGATTAAAAAGGGCAAGAAACACCTAATGTTGTTAAATATGTGGGTGTGGATCTTGAAGACTGCTAACATTAGCAAAAATAAAAAGTAAAAAAAATCAGGATAAATTCACCGCTGGCAAAGTTCAGTAATTTAACAAAGCTGTATATTATTAAGTCTACGTGCGACTTCTGGCTATCTCACAGCTGACTCTAAGTTAAACGCTTAAAGTTGGGAAAAACTAATAGGCAATAAACACGTACTATGGAAGCTTTACAAGTTTTACCAAGTAGAGACATGCTCTGTTTCAACAAGCTACCACACCTTGTTAAATACTAAGAATGTGCTAACAATACAAACTAGGTAAACCTCTGTCTACAGTGGACTTCTTATTTAAGTAAATTACAGGACAATCTAAAAATCAACTTCAAAAAAGAATCCCCTTGATGTGAATCAATATCTACCAGGAAAAAACAATTAATCAAAAACTGATCATTTAAAAATCAGTCACTTTAATTCCCTCATTTTTATAGTAATACAAAGTCAGAAAAGGAAATACACCTACTTGGGTTATATTTTCAAATCTAACAGTCACTGCCCTTAATCTCCAAAATGTACCTATATCTTCAAATACCCTTGAAAATACGCAACTGCCCTAAAGAATATTTAGTTCAGAAAGCAGTACAGAAAGGTCTCAATTTACAAGAGACACAAACAAGCACTGACTTTATACAACTTAGGCCAAAACAAGTCAAGGGTATGATGCGCACAACGATCTAACTGAAATGACACATTTTCCTTACAAATTAAATTAGGAAACACTTTTGTTCTACTTATACTCTGTAACACTGAAAACACAAACATATTTACACAAAAGCGATGTTTTTAGCTCGTCTCACTGTTGTGTCTCTAACTCTTGTCTCCCCGGCTCCTTGGGATTTGCTGGATCCATGAATTTCCCTCGATAGGCAAAGTTTGTCACCGATAATATAAGAAGTGCAAAAACAATGTTTTTAAAAATACCTAAGCCTCAAAAAAAAAAAAAAAAACCCCGAACTATTAAAACTTACTTTCCCACCAATGCGCACTTGTGCCTGCAGTTTGGCGAGTTTTTCCTGGTTCATGATTGTTTCTTTCATCTAGAAAAAGAGGAAATCCTCAGCAAGGATAGGTTTAGCTCACTCTAGCATTCCACGATCGTTATTTCCCAAGATAACAGCAGCAAAATAAACGTCCTACACAGGCCGAAACCTGGATCCCAAATCCACCCCGCAGAGCTCCAAATTTGGGTTTCCAGGGAGCCCAAAGAGCACCCGCCTCCCCACACTCCCCCACAGCTCCCCGCTCTTGGCAGGCCCGGATCAAGGGCTCTACCCCACGCCTGGCCAGCACCCCCCACCCATGGCCCTGGCCTGGCCTCGGCCTAGCCAGGGCCTGCCCGGCCCGGCCACTCTCCGCAAGCCTCGCGGTACCTGAGGCTCCTGTCCTCGGGTTCCGCCGCGAGGTGGAGGTAGAGACAGCGTCGCCTCGCCCCCAGGGCAGCCGCCCCTGGCTCGACCTCGCCCCCGAGAGTCAGCCTGGGCGGGAGCGCCTGTCCGTCGCATCGCCTTCCTCTCCTCCTCTGCCCTGTCCCTCCCTGTCTCGCTCCTTCAGGGAACTTCCCGCCCCCGCTCCCGTCCTCCTACCACGCCGCCGTCCAGAGCCTTTTTGTACCTTGTCGGAGCGAATAAGGGGCCGCGCGGGGGACTAGGGTTGGTGCTCAAGGGGTCTCGGGTGGACCAGCTGAGATTAGGCGCACACACGCGGGGACGCAAGATGGCAGCTAAAGGGAGGCCGGAAGTGACACAAGGCCACTTCCTCCAAGAGTCAGGAAACTGACTTCGCCGCGAGCGCAGTTCTTCCTTGCGCAAGCGCGGCAGCGTTTGTGACGGTAGGGCAAGTGCATTCTCTCCTCCTCCTCCTCCAGCGGCTGCCGGCTGCAGGCCGCACGAGGGACTTCTGGCTTCGGGCGCCGCCAGTACCTCTGGGAGAGGCCACAAAGGGGTCGGAGAGCGCGGTCCTGTGCAGTTAGGGTTAAGTCCGCTCAGTCTCCATTGGGCCCTGATCCTGAAGTTCTGTACCGTCCGGAGAAAGGGCCTGTTCACGTTTCCCGGAGACGCTGGAGGTGCCCAGCTTGTGCTCACCACTCGAGCAGCCCTACCCTTGTTGGAGGTGTAGGTTGGAGAATTGTAGAATTTCCCTCTCGGCCCGAATGAGCCATTACCAAAGCATTTTGTCAAAAATAGTGAAGTTAGTTTTGCTTTCCGAGATTAGGTGGTGTGGTAGATTGCGGGAACGAGGTTCAGAATTTCTGGGGGCTGTAGCCCGGAGCCCCACACCTCAGAATGCAACTCCGTACGACGAAGGAACTGGTAATCCGCATTTCAGCCAATATAGCGGATGACTAACCACCTTAAAACGGTCTACACAATTATCTTGTTTATCAGGAAAAAAAATTGACTCCTAGATACCGAATTGGCGTAGATTTGACAATTAGGAGTTCACGGTTAAGCAGACTTTATCTAAATCCAATCACAGGAGAAATTCTGCCTGCTGTGTTTGGAGAGACAACGCGTGGATGTGAGTTAAACTTTGCTAAACCCCAGGACAAGCTTTAAGACAAAACCACTGATACTTAAAATGGCAATTTAAATAAAAATGCTGTCTGATCAGCCTTTTTGTGGTCTTAACCATGAAATGTTTTTGCGTATTCAAAAGTGAGTCCGAAATCTTAGAATGCAATGTATATAGCAAGAAAACTTGTGTAACTGCAGACTCCTCTCCAGTTAAGATCAATATTTAAACTTTTTGAATACTTTTTACATATAGGTTTGTTGAAATTGATGTCTCAAGAACATAACTGGTGAGGACAGCTGTATTGCTTTTTAGAATAATTGTTACAGTTATATTTACAAAAAACAATGTTGCTTCAGTTAAATATGAGTGAAGTTTAGTACAGGAAAGGGTGTTCGTAATGGATCACCTTCCTAATGACAAAGACCAAAATGGCAGTACCACCACTTCTGTGCTCTGGAGATATTACAAAATATACAGAAAGACTCCCCCTTTTTGAGAGAAATGTCTATCTCTGTCCAGGAACAGTTTTTTTTCCTCTCCTCCATGTTATATTGGAGACATTTGAAAGTTCCTAGTCACGTGATGTTTTCTGAGCTTTTATAGAAAAAAGATTCTATGTATGTACCTGCCACCTGACTTTTTTTTTCTTTTTCTTTTTTTTTGCCTTCCCTCCCCTCTGCCCTGACTCATCTTTTAATACACCCGTTTTCAGGAAATATTGTGAGCTACTTTATTTATGTTTATTTTTTGAAACCAGGGATGCTGCTAATTTTATTTTTATGATTTTTTAAAATGTAAAACTTTAAAAATATTAAAAGAGATGGGGTCTTACTTTGTTGCGTAGGCAGGGCTCAAACTCCTGCGCTCAAAGGATCCTTCAGTCTTAGCCACTTGAGAAGCTGAAACTACAGGTGTGCACCATTTTCCCTGGCTTATGACTTTTTTAAAAAAAAATTTACTCTCGTTCCTACTTTTCTCTCCTGTTCTTTCATGAATTTAAAGATTTGCCGCGTGTCGAAAATATAAAAGATTCCTTAATGGTTAAAAAAGAAAATCTTGATTTTCTTTTTATGTTTTGCTTTGGTTTGGTTTTTGTGCTTTTCTATTTAGAGATGGAAGTCTTGCTGTGTTGCCCAGGCTGGTAAACTCCTGGGTTCAAGCCATCCTCTGACCTGGGCCTCCCAAAGTGCTGGGAGTACAGGCATGAGCCACCATACCTGGCCAAAATTTTGATTTTTGACTCCAGCTGCTTCTGCTTGTTTTATGAGTAGTCAGGAAATTCTGATTCCTCTAATAATTATATAGTAGACTTTTCAAAAATATGGGATATTTTGTTTCAAAAAAAGTTACTACATTGCGTTCTTAGCTCAAGGATGCCAAAAGAGTAACTTGTGCTAATGTGGGAGCCATTTCCAGTATGCTCCCAATGTCTATGGCAAATGTGAGTAATTGGCTCCCACGCTTTCCTGCTGGGCTTCAAGGAGCCTAAGAATCATTTACTCAGCACTCAAGATGGTATCTGTCAATAGAGAAGGCAGGAAAGGTGAACCCTGTTTGCCCTCCTTGCTTTATAGTTTATAGCCTAATCAAAGTCCATGAATTGTTTTCATCTCTCAGCTGGACTTAAGTCAGCTTCAGCAAAAGTCAAAATATCCACTTTATATAATGCTTCTTTCTGTCTTTTTTTTTTTTTTTTTTAGTCTCGCCCTGTCACCCAGGCTGGAGTGCAGTGGTGCAATCTTGGCTCACTGCAACCTCCACCTCCCAGGTTCAAGCGATTCTCATGCCTCAGCCTCCTGAGTAGCTGGGATTACAGGTGCCCACCACCACTCCCAGCTAATTTTTGTATTTTTTGTTAGAGGCGGAGTTTCACCATGTTGGCCAGGCTGGTCTCAAACTCCTGACCTCAAGTGATCTGCCTGGGATTGCAGGCATGAGCCACCGCGCCTGGGCAACTCAAGATTCTTAATAGATGGTAGGGCTATTTCCCTTTTTCACTTTTGAAACTGACATATTTACGGATATTCTATATACATTTTAGGTTTTGTTTCATTTTGAAATTTTGATTAGGATTGGTTGTATAGATTGATTTGGGAAACTTGTATATATTTTCTAATTGTATGCCTCTGCATTCACTTGTAGGAAATCTGGCTATTTTTAATATATAGGGATTTAATATAGGGAATTGGTGCTTTACAAAGTTTGAAGGACTGGAGGAGTGGGCTTTAGCCTGGGCTGTCAGAAGTGAGTCCTAAGATAATACAGATTTAGTATCCCTAATCCAAAAATTTTAAATCCAAAAGGCTCCAAAATCCAAAGCTTTTTGAACACCAGCATCATGCTCAAAGGAAATGCTCATTGAGCATTTCAGATTACAGATTTTCGATTAGGGCTGCTCAACCAGTATGTACATAATGCAAATATTCCGGAAAAAAAAAATCCCAAGTCTGAAAAATTTCTGGTTCCAAGCATTTCACATAACAGGTACTCAACCTGCACTCAAGAACTAGGCTGTCATGGGACCTGCTGCAACTGTTTTCACCCATTAGGAGGATGGAGAATCAGGACCCTACAACTGGAATTATTGATGTTAAGAATGCACCACTGTAGCTACAATTCAAGAATCAAGAAGATAACTGTAGGAAGTACTCCTCAACATCCACAAAGCTAATGACTGAGCTCTGGAAAGCTGCTGCAGAAAATCTATCTCATGAGCATGCTTGCCAGCAAAATTAAAGCAGCAGGAAAAAGGCTTTAGCCTCACTTCCACCTTCCAAATCTTACTTAAATGTACGTAGTTGGCAAAAATAATTCACTTCTAGAATGGTAACGGCAAGGAAATCTGGAAAATACAATTTTTAACTTTCCAAATTTATAGTACAGGGAGGCAAACTTGAAAGAAATTGGAACTGATCTGAGTACCAATCTACCTTACCTACCCCAAATTTCACCTCCATGAACATAGTGCATCTATTTTTTCAAATCTTTTATGTATTTTAATAGCGTTTTAAAAACCTTCTGAAGGTCGTGTGCATTCTTTAATAGATGGATTCCTGGATGTGATAGTTTTTGTTCTTAATCTCTTTCCTATTTTAGTCATTGCAAATGTCTTCTCCTGGTCTGTTAAATCCGTCATACTCTTGTTAAACAGAAACATAAATTTTTGACCCCAGGCTGATCTAGTTGTCAATTTACAGAATATACAAAAAACAGAAAAACATGTTAAATTATTCCACAGAATGCAATCAACAAAATTCAGATTACGGGAAATGAAAGGACAAATAAACTCCAAGGGAGAGGGGGAAAAAAGAATAAGGGGATCTTTGGATTAAGAGAAACCTAAGAGACATATCAAACAAATGAAAAACCCACAGGAAAGTAGGCAAAACAATAGTGTCTAGGGGTGCATGCTTAGGTAATGAAACTGAAGAGGAAAGGAATTAAGTATAAAAGAATAGTGGTTATTCCATGCTGGGTGAGGTGGCTCACACCTGTAATCCCAGCACTTTGGAAGGCCAAGGTAGGTGGATCACTTGAGGTCAGGAGTTTGAGGCCAGCCTGGCAAACGTGGTGAAACTCCATTTCTACTAAAAATACAAAATAACTATAATTAAAAAAAAAAAGAATAGTGGTAATTCTTGCAGAAAAGGGGTTATAGTTGGGAGGAGGCATATAGTAGATTTCTAGACTGGGGAGCAAGGGTCTGTCTTCTTACATGTAGAGTGTATATGGTTCTCTGTATTTGCTATATGGAACAAAATTTCTTAAAAGGAAAAGCACACATGATATATAATGCAAAGAAATATGCATATTTACGATCATATTTCAACATTACAGTGCATACATTTATGGAGAAGGAGAATGGGAGTAAAGATCAGAGAAAATGAGAGTGTCTTGCATGCACTGAAAATGACAATGTGCTAATAATATATCATGTTTAGATAGCCTTTAATATACATTAGGCACTGGTTCTTAGTGCTTTACTTATATTAACTCATTTGATCACATGAAGTAGATACTATTACTCCCATTTTACAGAACCAGAAAACAGGCACGCAGAGGTTAAGTAACTTACCTAAGGCCACAGTGCTGGTAAGTGGCAAAGCTGAAACACAGACCCTGGCAGT